AACTTAACCCATAAGCTTTAATTTTTATTTTATTTTATTTTTATTTGAGTACCTTGAACTATTGTTTTTTAGGTAAACCTTTCCATTAATTTTGACCACAAATAAAGGAGTCTATAAACATGACAAATTTCATGAAAACACGTTATTTGAGAGAGAAGGTTAATGGGGGGACAGAAACCTAGGCAGAGAGGCTTTTTTATACCAGAAAATAGTTCTTGGTGCTCAAATTGAAAAAATTGAAGTTCAAGGACTACATTCAATTTAACTCAAAGTTCAGGATAGTTTTGGATTATTTAGCCTAAACGACCCATGGACCATCATAGCTCTCTCTCTCCAGGGCGAATGATAAAAGGATAGCATCATTCTTAACACCCAATAAAACATCTGAACAATATATAAAAAACAGGTTTAATCAACTCAATTTGGGTTCCATAGGCATATCTTATCTTGTATTTACTGATAAGGCTTGGTGAATTTAAATAAATACATAAATTGATGTTTTAGCTCATTATGAACTCAATCTTGACTATACAACCAGTCATGATATCTGAATCACTAAGTACTTGAAGTTGGCTATGAATCAAAAGTACAAATGCTATAGTTACCCTAACAGCTGTGAGCATTGGAGAACCTTTTGCCAGCTCAGCTGCTATACATGAAGCCAAAGTGCAGCCAGTACCATGAGAATTGCGAGTTTTTATGCGAGATGAGCGCAGCTCATAGAAGTGTTCACCTGTAAAAACTTCCTAGTGTTAGACTGGCTTTAAAATGAACATTACTCATGATCACAGACAAAACATAAGGAATAGCATTATTATTTAACAAGTTAACAGTAAAATTTAAGCTCACCATTAAAGAAGATATCAACAGCATCCGAAGAATCAGGGAGATCACCACCTTTGAGAAGCACATTTCTGGAAAACAAAATTAACAACTATAATCATGCAACTCTCTAAGCTCAGAGCATTGGATCTATTCTATTCCTCGTGTTAAACCCATTTTGTAACAGATTTTCTCCAAGACTAAAATGCAGTGCCACAGACAACACTGAAAACACTTATTAACATCAGAAAAGCAACAGATTAAATATTTGAGTTCAATTTGTTGTACGAAAACATGGGACAGCACCATGTTGACATGGTAGAATAACCCTTAATATTTCAACCTCAAGGGCTGTCCTACATCATGCTTGGGCATCATAGTGATTCAGCACCATGATTACATGCATGGGAGAACTTACAAGAGCAAAATGACTGATGCCCAATGAGAAGAGTTGTTATTCAAGCTGTTAGAGCAGCTTCAACAACTTGCATGACAGTTTCCAGACATTAGAAAAAAGCATAAACAAAACAAATGCTCTAGGCAGTTTCCAGGTGGAAGCCATGTTAGCTATCACATTAAGTTTTCCCCTATATTCACAGAGTACAAAGACATATTAACTTTAAGTGTCTTGGTTTCTGCATCAAGAATCCCATAACTGGCACATAACTCATAATCATGAGTGCTAAAGATGCCACATTATTCTCTTCAGCTTATTTGAAACAACAAAGACCATTCTGACAACCAATGACAACAAAGAACTAAACATCCACAGAGGACCCACACATGAACGTCACATGATACTTTCCATAATCTAGCTATTAGATAATTGCACTTGCAAGTTGAAACAGCTACAATTTTGTCTCCTAACTTGACAGATAACCCTGGAAACACATTGTTCTTTAAACAGTGTCTTGTGCTCTTGACAATAAGATACAAGACATAGAAAAAGCTCATGCCTTGCTTGTAGCATTTTTTCACCTTTGAGGGTGTAATAACTTCCTAAATCTTATGCTGTCAAATAGAAAATGCTGCAATCTGAACAAGAGGTAAACTTACCACCTTTTCAATAGCAGAACTCCTAACATGAGCCATTTCATGGACTTAAAGAGATAAAAGTACATAATAGTTTCATAATGTTAGTTTCCCTCAACAAGTGAAGGACAAAATCAAATTCCATGAACTAACCGTGGACCCAGTGCATGCAACAGCTCAGCCGCATTGCGCATGTCAGCAACTGTTTTGAGGCATATACCACCAAGTAGAGCAGATGCCTCTTTTATATTTGGGGTTACTATGTTGGCCATGGGAAGGAGCTCCTCTCTACATTCAAGAACCAGAAATTTGAAATTATTGCAAAAATCCAACATAAAAGTTCACAGGGCAAAAAATATGAAAAAAAAAAAAGCAACTCTCAATAAGTTAGTGATGGCCAGCACACGTACAAGGTCTCTATGGAAAAGGTTGCTTATCTAGGATGAAATTGCCAGCCATTCCTATGCCTCATCTACAGCTCCATAAAGAAGGCAATTCCACCCATAAATACTTATTCAGTTAGCCATGTGCTCCATCCTTAGAGGATTGCCCTCAAAAGCCTTCAGCAGGGCACAAGACATGATATAACCAGGTCCCAGTATGGATAACTTTGAGACATGATCTGATTTTTGTATTGTTCTAGACATTGATAAAGCAAAGATGAAAGTACAGATGTTAAAAGGTGCAAGGCAACATATTTAGACAAACAGTGAAGAGGACTTAGATTTTGCCAACGAAATAATCAATGAAATCAGGCAGAGATAGCCTACACTTGCTGAAGTTGGCTGGCTGCGGAGAAGTTAATGGAACACCACTCCGCAATAGAAATATGAGAAGAATTTGGAATCTGGAAGGTAGATTTGGTTGTAGAAAATTGTGGCTCTTGGAAATGAAAGAAACCAAAAAATACTGTGCGGCAGATTTCTAACTATTGCAGCTGCAATTTTTGAATATTTTATTAAGAAATGCTTGAAAAATTTGTTTGAAAATCTTATAATTTATTTTGTTTTACACTCTATCTCTATTATTTTAAAATTATATCAGTCAACTTAATTTTTAACAGCAAAATGATTCAAATTTCCCATCTTCACAAATTAATAACAGCAAAATTGCTCGACGGACTCCATTTCCTATTGCTTACACTCACCACCACCGCTGTCCCGGTCTAACAATGGCTCAGCATCCACAATAAAACTCTCATTATCTCTCAAAATGGAGTGATTGTTAACTGATTTTCCCACTAGAAAAATAATCAACAAAAAGAAAAACCAAATAACGACTGTTAAAAACAAAAACTACAGCAACTTACCGAAAAGTGGAAAGAATGGACGGGCCAGCAAGCACGTCTCCACTGGTAGAAACCATGACAGGATCAACAACCAAAGCTGCCTTTAATTTAATTATTACGTCATTAAACTCAGTAAAATCACAAATTAAATCATTCGAAATAATTCGAAATTTTTCCTTTTTTCTTTACCTCGAACCGAAAACTCAGTGAGACTCTGAAGAAGAACCTTAACTACCCCAACAGAAGGCAGCATCCCTGTTTTAACCTAAAAAACGATATCGCAATCAATCAAAAGCAAATTTGAAGGACCAATTGAAATGTTAAGAACTTACGACATCAACTTGCATATCTGAAAGCACTGATTTCAACTGCTGGGCAACAAAATCCTCCGGCACAGCGTGTACTGCCTGAACTCCAACGGTGTTTTGTGCAGTAACGGAAGTTATCACTGTAGAACAATAAACTCCGCGTGCGGCACAAGCCTTGAGGTCGGCTTGGATTCCGGCGCCGGCACCGGAATCAGAACCGGCTACACTCAAGACGTGCGGGACTGAAGCACCGTAGTTTTTCTCTTGCATTCTTGAGCTCATAACCATGCGTTTTTGGTAGAAGGAGAAGGAATTGCAGAGGATGACTCCACCGCAGGCCATTTCAAGACGCGACCACCACTTGCCGAATATAATATATAATGTTCCTTGGGCGGGCTCAACCCGGCCCGGTTATGCAACGCGGGTAAAAAAGAAATATCGACGTTAGATGTTTGTAAATGTTTGCAATCCAGTCCTTCAAGATCATTTCTGTTACGTTTAGGTCTTTGGTTATAATAATGGACCACCAAATTACCTGCCTTTTCTGGTAGCAATTTGAAAATATAGATTTGGAGAACAAAAATATAAATTATAAAAATAAAAAATAAAAATTACCAGTCAAATTTTGAATCAAATCTCACAAAAAATAGAGGGAGAGAAATGATGTTTATTGTAACTTTAAGGGTTCAAATTATACTTTTGGGAAAACTAGGGTCATCTTGGCAAATTCAAATTTTAGCTTCGTGCCAGAAGAGCAGGGGATATTTTGATTGACAGTTTTTTATAGTAAATTTTGATTGTTTATAGTATATTTATTTTTTCATTTAAATTTAAAAATTAAGTTGACTAATATAGTTTTAAAAATAATGGAGATAAAGTGTAAAACAAAATAAATTAAAAGATTTTCAAACAAATTTTTCAAGCATTTATTATTTTTTATATTAAATTATCCCTGGACTTAAATTAGGATAATCAAAAAATTATTACGAAAATATAAAAATATTTTTTATATAAAATTTAAACTTTTGTTATTAATGTTATGTATAATTAATATATGTAAGGTGGGAGAATACTTGCTTGTCACTACTTTATTTGACAATAACAATGTGAAAAGACTTTATAATATCATTGTAAGTTTGTGTTGAGTTTTTTTGCTGAAAAAAATAAAAATATTATTATATTATTATAGTGAATAATAATTTAGATCCAAAATTCTTTTCAAAAATTTTTTAGATATTTTTTAATTTAATTGCTATCTTTATGCGTATTAATAGTTATCACAAAAATAAATTATTAGTGCCCAGAACAAATTTAATTGCATGCAGTGCACTTATAATCTAAACGTGTGAAAAAAATAGTGTGCAAGTTCACAATGTTTTTCCCCTTTTCTCTTATATTATATTTTATTATTATTATTACTATATCATTTTGTGTTATATATATATATATATATTACTTATAATTTAAAGGGTGTGAATTGAATATTGTATAATCACATTGTTTTCCCTTTTTTTACAATAAATTTTTTAAAAAATTATATAAGGTGAATATTGTTTCCTTGCACTGTTTACCTTCTCGTATTTAACTGGAAATGATATTTTATGATATAAATTCACTTTAAATAAACTAAAATATATGGAATAAATATTGAATAATCACATTGTTTTTCCTTTTATTACAATAAATTTTTAAAAAAATTATATAAGGTGAATATTGTTTCGTTGCACTATTTACCTTCTCGTATTTAACTGGAAATGATATTTCATGATATAAATTCAATAAACTAAAATATATGGAATAAATATTATACAGACATATTATTTACACCCTTCACATTTTACTTTAGACAATATTAGTAATTGTTTTTTTAAGTTTTACTATAAATTTAAAGAAAAAATATATGAGGTAAACACGGTGCAATTATATTATTCACCTCTTTATGTTTTACCATAAATGATATTTTTTTTTGTGTTTGTTATAAATTAAAAGAGAAAAAAAATTAAACCTAGTTGAGCTCATGATCCAAATTTATCCTATAAGTTTTATTGTGATGATACTGTTTATTTTTTTGTTTAAAAAAATATTTTTGTTTTTTTGTTTATATTTTTTTAAAATTAATCTCAATCTTGTATTCCTTCTCTATTTTATGCTATTTAGAAAACTTATTTAAAATGATGATTATTTTTTAATTTTTTATGAGGTTTTTTTTATTAATTTATATATTTTTAATTTTTTGTATAGATAAACTTTATTTTTTAAGATAAAAAATTATTTTCAAATAATATTTTTAATATGTGCAGTATCACATATTATTTTTTTTCTTTTTATTTTATTTAGATAATTTAATGTGTATGTCTATTTTTATAATTGTTTGATTGAATAAAAATATTATTTCAATTAACAAATATAGTAAACATAACTGCATAAACATCACGTTTTGCAAAATTAAATATTAACAAATATAGTAAACATAACTGTATAAACATCACGTTTTGCAAAATTAAATATTTTAATATATATTTATCTCTTAATTTTACTATTTTTTTTATTTTTAGTCATCGTTTATAGTTTTTTTTCACTTATTAAAACATATAGTTCTTAGTTTTTTTTTAATTACATGTATGTATAAATTTTTTAATTTTCACTTGGAATTTTTTTAATTACAAAAACATATTGAAAAAATTTAATTTTTTTTGTTGATAAAAAAATATAATCAGCAATGAAACGTGAGTCACATATCTAGCATAAACTAAAAAAAGATAGTGCTTTTATTATGGGCTACCTTGTAAAATACTATTAATTTCAATAGCTTTTTTTTTTTACTTTTTTTGGCCCAAATATATATATATATATATATATATAATTTCATGTTTTAATATTTAGTTTATTGGAGATCAGGTTTCATAATTTACTATGGTTTGTTTTATACATGGTTAGCCCGATATTGTAACTCATACCACGGATTTGGCGGATTGACTCTCTTTTTTTATCCTTTTTAATTAATAATTTTTTAAATTTTATTATTTAATATTAGGTTGATTTGAAATTAGGTTTCGTGATTTATTTTTATCTATTTTTTATAAAGTTATTTCGGTCTTATTATCTAAGTTACGGGTTTAATGAGTTAACCTAATTGACTCGAGTTTTTATTGTCTTTTTTTTACTAACATTTTTTCTATTTCATTCTTTAACATTTAATTGATTATAAATTAGGCTTCTAAAATTATTTTGGTTTGTTTTCTATAAGACTATCTTAATTTTATACTTGAATCACGTATTTTGTGGGTTAATCTCGATAAACACATATCATTTTACTATATCCTATTTTTAGATTGACTTTTTATTTATTTTCAACAATTAACAATGGATTTATTGAAAATTAAGATTCATAATTTATTTTGATTTTCTTTTAGGCTATCTCGGTCTTATGCTTCGTAATTTATTTTGATTTATTAAAAATTAGGCTTTATAAATTATTTTGGTTTGCTTTTTATGAGGTTATCTCAGTTTTATACTTAAATCAAATGTTTTATGGATTAATGATTAATACTTGAAAGTATATTTTTATCAAGGTTTTATATCATTATAGTGCACTTAAAGTATCATTAAATTTCTTAACTTAAGCATGTTTTATAATAACAAGTATTACAATATAAGATATTTTTAATTTATGATAAATACTCATTTCAAAAGCATTAAAAAGACAATTCAAATGATTAATTGATTTGTTTAACTATTGAAATTAAGAAGACAATGAGATAGCTAAGCTTAGAGAAGAAATGCTGGTTTAATTCAAACTGAAACACCATTTAGTTATTAAATCATAATTAGAGCGGTTTAACTTGTATTTAGGTTTGATTTATATGGATAAAAAGCTAAGACACGAGTCTAAAACTTTCATGAGAGTTCAATATTCAAAACGATCATTTTCATACTCAAATTGTAGCAACAAAAGAGATTTTAAAATTTGTTCTGCAACCCAGATACTATTCAGTGTTCAGTATTCTGCAACTCAGATACTATTCAGTGTTCAGCTTATATCTTGAATTTTAGAAATCCAAATAAACTCATTCTTATTTTGTTGGAAAGCTGAGACATATGCCCATGACTTTCATGAGACTATATATTCAAATTCTGATATTAGTAATGATATTTTGTTGAAGCAAGAAGATAATGGTTGTCATCAAGTCAATAATTAGTCATTAAATCAATAGTTCTGAAATTTAGTCAATTAAAGAAGTCATTTGCTATACACTCGGACATCTCGGTGTCCAGATCATTTTCTTGCTTTTTTTTTGTATTTTTGTAATGTTTAAGTTTAACTCTCATTAATCTCTTATTTATGTTTTTCATTATAACCATGTTCTTATCTTATTTGTTTATGTTCTTTTTTCTTTATTATGTCTACCTAAGTTTATAATATTAAGGTAAAAAGCTTTCACTAACGGTGTTGAAATAAACATAATATAAACTCAACATAGATTTTAATATTTATATTCAAGAAAGTTTGTTATTGACATATTTTATCTTTTTATCATACTAATTCTTAAAATATTGCTTGTTAAATGATTAATTTAGATTTATATTGCTTGTTAGATGATTAATTTAGATTTGTGTTATATAAAACTTGGTACAACAAATACTTGACACTTTCATAACCTACTGTACGGTATAACCAACACTTGTGCTATAAAAAAAACTTAATTTGTTGTTAATATAAGTTATCACGATGAATACCTGATTACATTTATAACTATTAACATAACCTAAATAAGATGACTAATATGATCATGTTAACCTGATTACACTTATAACTATTAACATAACCCAAATAAGATGACTAATATGATCATGTTAAAAATTTATAATGAACTATTATGGACAAATCATTCGATTAGAACATTCTTTGTGTGTGGATTCTAGTTGAGTAATAAAAAGAGTTTATATTATTTTATTTGAAATACTATTAGTGGATCCTCTAACCTTAACAGTTATTTTATCATTGTTTAATCCTTACATTAATATCACATCTTAAAAGTTCTCTTCAACTTTTTTTCTTTTATTATTTATAATTTATATAGTTGACCTCTTATGATTCGATCCAGTCTTGCCAAGTTATTTATTACTTCGATTCGATCCAGTCTTGCCAAGTTATTTATTACTTCGATACTTTTGCACTTGGGATAAGATATCAATCTTTTGATCATATCAATTAACCCAAGTAAACTCGTATCGCTTTATTGTATCCTATTTTTAGATTGATTTTTTATTTATTTTCAACATTTAACATTGTATTTATTAAAAATTAGGATTCATAATTTGTTTTAATTTTTTTAACAGGGTTATTACAGTCTCATGACCTTGGTCACGAGTTTGACATATTAATTTAGATTAACTCATCTCTTCTTTTATTTAATTTCTATAAGATTATCTCATTTTTTTTTCTAAATTCATGCTTCAATATTTAGTATATTGGAGATTGAGATTCATAATATATTGTGGTTTGCTTTATATATGGTTAGCTCGAACTCATAACCCGCGTTGTGACTTTGGCAAGTTAACTTTATTCTTATTTTTATTTTTTATTTTTAATTGATAATTTTTTTTCAATGTAATCATTTAATATCAGGTTGATTATGAATTAAGTGTAACACCCTGTACTTTATATACATTCTTAAAAGAACTTTAAGCCATAAGTTAAAAAAATGGGTATTTTTTTCCTCCATCAAACTTATCTAAGACTTGCATAAATTCTAGTTAAAAATTTGATAGAATTTCTCTTATACCCGGAGAACCTTAGTTATCGACAATCATCATATACAGTTATACTCATTTCTCAATCATATCATAATCATGCAGAACCTCAACAACACGTCATTCATTGTATATGCATAATGTTTTCCATGTTCATTTCTTTCATATTAACACGTATAATTCATAATAATTTGAAGTAAACAAACATTAAAATTACAAATACAAAATAATAGTATATTTTTATGTCCCGACACTTAATGTAAAAGGAGTACTATTACATATTAAGTCATTTAGTTCCTCAAATACAAAGTACATTAATGTTCATTTTTTTATTTAATCACACAAAAGGAGACTAGACCTAAAACACTACTCCTGGCATGAATTTGAAGGACCTGCAATTTTATAATGTATAGATTGAATATAATAAGAATAAAATATAGCATGGAAATAAAATCACACAAACATGCACAGTAAATTAAACTTATATCTAACGATCTACAATCATAATTCTTTGAGATTCTCATTGAACCTTCCATTATTACGTCTTTATTCGTCATTCTTGAAATCATTCAACATTTTCATTCTGTGTCTTGTTTTACCTCACAAATGCATCTAATTCGTTACAATATCTACCATGTGATTTCTCTCTCTCTTACTCTATTTATTTATATCAATTTCAATCCCAACGTCTATTATACATATTATGACTTTTCCATATAAATCGTCAAACTTGTCATGTTTTCGATCCAATTATGGTTTATAAATATATTCAACTTATATATTTTTTATGCCTATTTTGGTACATTCCAATGTTTCTTTAGATTTTTAGTAAAATCTCCCCTCGTCGTGGAACCTACCAATATTTTTACAATATTCATATCCAATCCATTTTCACATAACATGAAATATCATACACGCATCAATCTATTTAATTCATCACCCTAATCTTATTTGACCACCATAATTAAGGCCAAATTTTATTATCTATCAATGTTATTGGCATTTTATTACATTGATATAATTACCACCAATTTCTTATCATGCTAATAACAAAACAAAACCTCAATACAACATATTTTTATTATTATTTATAATTTCTCTGACATCATCCATATACACCATACACGATTTTTAAATTGTACAATTAAAATTCATCAATTAATTCAAAATACAAGAGAGAGGGAGATGGGGGTAGAGAGAAGGAGCACCTACCATAATTAATGAACTTCTATTCTCAATCTTAAGCGATACGATATTTGCCTCCATCCTTTACAAGGATTAGTTTTCATCAATTTTTTTCTTTTTATTTATTCCTTCAATAATCCATAACATAAAATAATTTACCATTTTTGTTTAATAATAAAGTATCGTCCAACATTCTATTTATAATTTGACAAGTCAGTTATCCATAACATAAACACATGATATTTTTTTTATGAAAATAAAAGGTAAGCCTATAGCACAGTGCAAGTCACCTAACTAGTTTAATCTGAATATAATGAGTATTGGCCTAACCCAAAATAAATGAATTTATTTATAGTTACTTTATCTGACAAGTAAAGAATACGACATCAATATTGTCAAATTGAACCTGAGATCTAATCCAGACTTAACCCGGGATGCATATCTATGTGTGTGTATATATTTCAAGATTTATATACTGATACATGATTAGTTAATTATTCAGTTTACTATTAAGTATATTAAAAAAGAAATGATTTAATAATTGAATAAATCACAATTTAATTATATTATTTTTTAGAAATGAATTATATTTCTAAGATTGCAATTTTTTTTTAAGATGAATCTGATTAGTCAAAAATTATCATTTCAAGTTAGTAAAAAAAGTTTAGTGTTCATTTTAAACTAAAATAATAATAATAATTTTTATTTATTGTTTCAAACATTGTAAGTTTAATAACAATAAAAAGTACTTTTTATATGAATTCTTTTGTTATATATCAACCAAATACAAAGATAAAGAAAATAAAA